ATACTATATATATATATATATATGTAATTTTTCGTTTATTTGATAATAAAAGGTTTATTCTTCCTTTATACTCTTGTCAGTAATTAATGAAGAAATACGGTTTGTTTGGGGAAAATGAAAATATTGAAAGAACGTCCGCAAAAAATCAATAGATAAGCTCTTAGAAATTTGGAGTCAGGTATTTTTTGTTTTTTGCAACTTCGCAGGACACATGCAAGTCCGTGATACGAAAATAAACTATATTCAAAAGGCTTACTCAGCTAATTTAATAATAAAATAGAAAATATTGGATAATAGTTGATCTATTTAGTCCATATCATCTATTTTTTCTCCACAAGTTCCCTCAAAGAAATATAAAAAGGAGCTTCTCTAATGCTAAAGAGAGGAAAAAACATCATAAAAACGCTCTTTAAAAAAAAACGAAGCCTCTATGACTTGCCTTACCCATTTCTTGAGACTCCACTGACTCCCTTTTGTAACTGGTTTACAAGTCTATCTTGTCTAAGTCGTTTTCAAATCATTGTCTACTGAAATGCACCTAGTAAGACCTTCCCAATGCCACGTAAAGTTTATGGCCTCGTTCTCCATTACATAAGGCTTATCCTCGACGTATCCAGGGTCAAAGTCGCGGATAGCGTTGATACCTTGTGCCAAAATATTTTGCATTGTAAGTATGTTATCATCTAAGAGTCTTGCCGCTTCTTTCTGGTCCTCTTGCGACTGCCGTAATGTGACCTCCGCTTCTTCCTCCTCCTTGCGTTTGCGTACCACTTCATCTGAGTGAACCATATCTTTCACCTCGTGCATACGGCTTTGGTGAATATAGTAGTAATACAGATTGTTCGTTTGGTTCTTCTCAGCATAAACCCACTTTTGAAGCTTGGCAATTTTTAAAACCAATCGCAGGTGCTTAGCAGAGTCAAGAGGCACATCATCATGCTGCTTACATACCTCCCAGAAATCCACAAGGCGTATGGGCTGATGAAAGTACAGTAGTTTGAGCACATAGTTCCGCGGCAAGTCACCGAGGTCGCGCGGAATTGCCTTGAGATTGTTCTGCATGAGAGGCTTTTTAAAGAGTTCGCGTATGTTAGAATTAAAGCGCCTATTATTACAGAAACGTATCATTGTAACTTCACTACGGTAAGGAACCGTAAGACGGTACTCCTTCCCTGGCCGAAGGCCTAAGGGACCCTTGGGTCTGCCGAGTTGACAGAAAGTATTCCTAAGCATAGTATGAACAATGGCAACTGATACACGTTTAGCATAAATATTATGAGATTCGAACAGAAGGAAAATCCTCTAGATGGGGAATACGCAAGGAACGCGTCAAGGAGTAGAAAAGTATTAAGATGGTAATAAAATTGAAAGTATTCTTGGGTATACAGTCAAAGAAGCTCATATTGAATAATAAAACCATGGACTTATATATATATATATACACATATACATATATGTTCGTAATATTCGAATAAAAATATTCTTTCGATAAACAGCACATATTTAGAAAAGTGACTGAGCAAAATACTAAATAAACGAAAAGGATTCACGGGACAACAACTACACCTGGACAAGAAAAAAAATGTGTCAAAAGCTCTTGGAATTGATCAAGTCATTTTAATAATAAATGCAAAGTATGAACATATTAGAGAACTTCTATAAATGCATGGAGTTAAACATTAATACAATCAAGGGTATAAACGCTAGCATAATTAAAGTACATATATAAATGTATAAGATGCTAAACTTCAAGTATGCTTATTCATAAAATACGTGCGCACATAGTTGGAATGGATGATGTCACCTTAGGTAAAGATGAGTTCATAACTCTAGCATTTATTGTTCCAATAAAACAAGAAAACTGATGGTTACAGAAAAGAAATTGTAGAGGTACCTTCTGATAGGCCTTGAAGCTTTTTTATTTTGATTCATGAATTAGCACTCCCCTTTTCTGTGTGTATCTATTTTCTCTAATATACACAGACAGAATTTATTATTTTTAGGGGAACAAAACCCATCATTACCTCATTTATCAAGTGTTTCAACAGGGTATAAACTAAAGGACGAACAATTAAATCAAAAAAAAGCATAGTTGCATAATTAGCTACGAACTCCATACCTGTCAACTGACAAAAAAATCGGAAAAAGGCTACTCGACCTTTATCTGTTTACAGGCAAACAACGCTAAATAGACATCAGCTCTGGATTGATAATAGCTGTGCATAAAACTAGTATAGTCTTTCATTTTTTTTTCCTCTTTGCTATTTGCTTCTGCTCTGTTCTTGAACGCAAATAATAATAATAATAATATCACCTCGAATAATCATAATTATGGATTCCCCTATAGTCTATTTGGAGTCCTGCCATTTTCTGTGATTCTATTCACCAAATCACGCACATCCTCTGATGGATCAGTCTTGAGCTTGTCCAAAATAAGATGGATCTCTCGCAAAGAAGTTTTCTTCGCTTTATATAGTGCCAGGGCTGCTCGGCACACATTCAGACGAACATTCGCGACCGGGTCGTCCCGGAGCTGCACTAGTATCGGCCAAACAACAGCCTCACAAGTGCTACTGTCAAAAACGGCAACGTCTGCGAGACCTGCATACAAATGACAAAGCGAGACACGATGAAGGTAGTTTTTATCCTTGGAGAGAGGCTCAAGCCTCGAGAAGAGGGTGCGCATAGCCCATATAGATCCGTTTTCTCCTACTAGGCGGCAGCAGGACTGCGCCGCAGTGTCGCGGATGGTGGCTACTCGGTCGGTTAAACGCTCAATACAAACATCCAAGATATCCTCGGTGTTTGGCCCCAGTGCACTGATGACGGACGGTAGCTGCAAGACAACGGTTTCGCGCAGTCGCCACTTTGGATCCGAGGCGAGGGAGATGATGACCGGGACCAGCTTTGGCGCGAGATCCTTCGCTTCAGATGTGTTCCCAATTGAGCTGAAACCAGAAACGAGGGCAAGCCGCACATCCGCCTCCGTATCATTAAGAAGCCTAGTGCAAGTTGGGACGATGTTACCGTCCCACAGCTCCCTCGGCACGTTCGCCACAGACTTGAGAACCGCGCTCGCCAGGCACATCCGGACGTGACTACTTTCATCCGTTATGAGGCGAGTCCCGGTGATCAGAACGTCCTTTTTTATATTTAAATCACGACACGCCGAGACCATTCCCGGCATGTTAAAGACCGCAGAGGCACGTATTTCAGGCTCAGTGTCCTGGCAAAGTGAACGAAAGATAGGAATGGCGAACTTCACCACGTCAGGCGGCGTCATAGCAGCTGCAAGGCTGCCTAGGGAATCTGCAGTCATGTAGCGCACCCGCCAAGAGTTGTCCGCCGCGAGAGCTTTGATCAGGTTCAAAACCGAATTGTGATGCACCTCCGGCAGTGCCTTCAGGACAGCAGCCGAGGTCGGTACGACCTGGAGACGTACCCCATCGCTGGTGGCCTTGGAAAAACTAACTAGAACGGGGATGAGGTCAACCACAGTTTTCGTGCTAAGAGTACCTGCCAGTTTTGCACCCATCGCCACACACGCAGCACGACGCACCATAATTTCTTCGTCAGCACAGAGCGCCTTGAACATATTAATAAGGTTTGCCCGCTCATTGGATGAAACACTCGGGTAGACCGTTGCAATCAGACTGCATACAATGCTCCGACACTGTGATGTTCCTTGGCTGAGTCTCTCCACAAGATTGAGGTACTCAATACGCGCCTTGTCAGCCATCCGAGCTTTGCTGTTTGTGCCACGAAAAATACTCTCACCAATATGTTCCAATGATGCAATAATCTCATCACGCACAGTAACTTCGTCTAAACTACAAAGTATCTCAAGTGGGTTGAGAAGAGAAGTGATGTAAGTCACTCCACCAACCTCAGGAAGCATGGTCCCAAGAGCGTTTGCAAACACTCGCAGAACATCATCGTTGTCGTCTAGGTAATCTGTCAAATAGAGAAGAAGCTCGTCACGGGTTCGTTCCGGTCCAAGAGTCGCAGCGATGAGATGGATACCACGCATACTACTGAGGCGAAGTTCTGCATCTTCAGAACGAAGATTTTCAATCATCTTCTTTACAGATTCAATTTGCTCCATTTCAGAAGTCTGATTTAAACCCTTGGTTGAACTAACTTTATAGCTCCCTTCGCGTTTGTATTTGAGTTGTTCTTTTACACGCTTTTGTATAAAATTACCAAGCTGTGTTGGTAATGAACCTTGGATTTGCTGAAGTTTCAATAATCTACAAAATTAACGTGTTATTGGTACGTTATAGGACGTTACTTTATGCGAAGGCTCAAAATAAGCCACTAGAAACAAATATCTTTAATAAAACAAAAAGATAGTTCTAATGAATATAAAATATGGAAGTGTGGAATTTACCACTTTTCTTTTGTAGCGAATGGAAAAAGGTTAAAAGAGAAAAAAAGAGGAAAAATGCTGCTTAAACTCAAATTGTCCTACTCATGCACCAATAGTCTGCTACTACCGAAATCACTAAGTCTGAAGGCTCCTTTTAGGTGTCTAAATGTTTATTTGACGCCAAGCATCGAGTCGTCAGTTTGAATTTATTGAAAATATTCGAATTTTATTGTACTGCTGATGTAAAATTGTAGCAGTTTTGGGGGGACACTTTAGTTCCTTTATTGGCCCTCCGTAATCTCTTACTCGTCATTAATAAACAAAAACGAATTATACTGACCTCTTCTTGTCAAAACGGATATCCCTCCGCTTTTGAAATCCTTAGTTAGCAGTGCTCCCCACATCATTAGTTGTACTCGTCACTGATTGAATTTTTGCACTCACATAAGCCCTCGCGCTCTCCTTCACCTTCTCCACATTTTCTGGTGATCCAAAACCTATTTCAAAGTTCAGAAAGCGCGACAAAATCTGGTGCGTAACCTTAGCACTGAAATTCATCGACACTGTGCGCTCAAAAAGAGTTCGAACATACGTCACGGACGATTCAGGCGCACGGCGAGTTAAGAGTGCAAGCTCCTGGTCCAGATATGTTGACCAGATGTCCGTCTTCTTTGGTACTTTTGACAGAAAACTCTCAAACAGTGCACGCCCATTCTCAACACTGCCCTTCTTGTATTCATGAATGGCAATATGGACAATATTTAAAGAGGCTTCATTTCTTTTAAGTGCACTACTCATGTCTTTGATGACGCGCTTAAGTTGGTCACGTTTGCTCTGATCAACAAGGGTTATACCAAGTCGTTCCCATGCACTGCGCTCGTTACGGAACTTACTCGTCATATTACGACAGAGCGCAAGAAGCTGGTTTGGTTTATTAGACGCGGCATATATATCGGCGAGACGTTCGTGTAAAACAAAGGGATTCATCTGTCGCTGAAGAGCACGCTTGAAAATGAGCGCAAGGGACTCCGCAGTACCGTACAAATTCTCCAGATTAAGATAGGCCACCCACACATTCAGACGTTCATTCTGTTCCCTCACACCTATGGTACTCAGTGCCTTCTCTGCGATTTGCCTCGCCTCTTCATATTTTTGTAGACCTACGTAGTAGGCCATGTACTGTGTCCATAAGTAGCTGCTGTTAGGATTTGCGAGTAGGTGACGTTGGAATTCCTCGGGAGAGGATGGAGTTGCTTGGTCCATGCCACGCTCATAGGCATCAATTGCCTCCTCAAGTCTACGGCGGCGGATGTGGGATTTGCCATCGTCCTGGCGCACTGAGTTGGCACCAAGTCCATCATCACTTTCAACGTCGCCAGAAAGCATGCTCTCGTTTTGCTGCCTCCATGGGAAGTTCCCTAGTAGACCGGTGCTAGAATCACAAACCCTTTTGCCCCCTGACGACGCAAAAAAAGAGGAAAACATGGGAGACGCCAGGCAGGCGCTGTAGCGAACAGTAGGAAGGGACAAGAAACTATCCACTTGGCGTCGATTAGAAAGAACTACAAAGGGAAGTACCGCTTGAAGAGACGCGACCTCGGCGCTGAACTCAACCGTCAGCTGTAGTTTGGAGCCCACGACCGGGGACGGTGAGGCATTTGGGCCCATGTTGAACATATAGTAGCCGAGAATGCTACAGGATTGTTGCTGGCCCTGAACGGGAACAGTGGCCAAAATTTCAACCACCGCGCAACCGTCATCCGTGCTGGACAGCAGTACCCCAGCCGTGACTATCGAGCCGGGTGGAATTGATGCAAGGACTAGTGCTGCCATCGCAGTATCTAGTGGAGTGTTCTCAACGACCTGTGTTTTGAAAGTCACGTTTACGACATTTGTATCCACATCGTAATTCAAAATTCGAACCTCGCGCAGAGCGTGGGACGCGCCGGTAATTACTTTCGCCTCATCTTCCTGAAGGTTGCTTTGCTCACCCGTTACGTGTGGCACCACCTCGGCCTTGCCAGAACCCTTGTTATAGTCGTTTTGTGGACCCTCCTCACCTTCATGTCTAGCGTCAATCCTTTCGAGTGCAGCTACAGCTGTTAAGCTTGGTGAAATGCTGAAGACTGTCCCCTTGGTGCTACTTTTTACTACACGACTGGCAGTTGTAGTGCCAAGACCGACAAGCAAATGCTTTTTGAGCAGCCTCTGCACAAGCCAACGAACCATGGGAGGATAAGCGTAGAGGTCACTCCAGACCTCGGTCAACGAAACTGTAAGCTGAAGATAACCCTGTGAATCCCGTTTGTTACGACAGAGGATGGCAGAGACATGTTCACGTCCCGAAAAATTCTTGAAAAGACACTCTGCAAGTTTGTCATCGCCAAGAGTTTGTTTAGTAAGGCGACCAAAACCCCCATGACCGGGAAGCTGCACAAGGATCCCATCAGGCGAGGAGTGGTGGACACGATATTCACGAAATATAGACCCCATATATATAAGTTTATCGTAACAAAGAGAGCTAATTCAATAACTGGATGTAATACCTACAGCAAATTACAAGCTAATCAGTAGTAAATAAAACTTAATTTAAAAAAGTAAGCCAATAGATATTAGGTTGAAGATGTAGTAAATTTTCATATTTGGAAAGATAAAGGCCTAAATTTTTATTAAAGTCCATATTTTATGCAGTGATATTCTATATTTACAATCGTTGAGAAGCACTCCTAAAGTTAGTGTATATTAGTTGAAACAACCATGAGCATAAGAAGTAGCAAGAGGTTTGGTCCTACCACACACACTTAATAAGAACTCAGCTTACTTCTTAGTTGTAAAATAAAAATGGAAACATGAAGTATATATATATATATATATCTGTGTATATACGCATATGTGTATAATTATAACAATGGCGTCACACAAATTTTTATATAAAACATGTACAGCCCATATATACAATATTAATGTATATGAAAATATCTTCCGAAAAAGAAAAGTAAGGAAAAAGAATGCATCTAAGGTTTTTATTAAACTAGACAGCATCAGGACTGACTATTTTTATTTTATTTGTATCGCTGGCTTTATCTAATGAAAAAAAAAACTGTGAAATATATTTCGCTCTTGAAGCGGATCTTGCTTCTCCTCGCAATTGATCTAATATTATTAATTTAAACAATCTGGAAAGTGTTGATGGTAATGGAATGGGGATTCACTAATCTTCACTATGATGTTGGAATAAAGTGTTATTTAAAAAAAAATGTCTTGTAGACTTACCTGTTGTCTACAAGTGTTGGTAATAATGACAGCAAGCATGGGGATTACGTCTTCTGTTGCTTATGCGGCCTCTGCGACTGCTCGTCGAGCTCTTCATAACGTCGGCGCCAGTAGTTCGCATCCCTGTGTGCCACGTCCACAAATTTTTGGTGCGCATTTCGCTCCTTCTCTAAGATCATCCTCAATTCTTGGCTCGATTTGCTTTCCTGCTGCATCCCCAAGTTAAGAACCTCGATGCGCTCCTGACGTATTTTAAGTTTTTTCTCTGCCAACTCCAGCTTCAGTGCGACAGAGTTACGGGACTGAGCCTCCTTTGCGAGATTTTGGTCCATATCCTGAATTCTTCTTCCTAACTCCAAAATACACAACACTGCTTCATTCAATAGCTCACTATTTTCGTAAGTGGTAGAATTTCTCTGTGGTACAGCATCAGTGTTGCTATCCTTGATGTTATTTAGTACAAGAAAAGGATCATATTGTCGTTGATCGGGGTAATGGATCGTACTAGACAACACTTGGGATTGATGATGATATAATGTAGATTTGGAGTTTCCTAATCCCACTTGATGTGCCAAAACAGAGTGGAAGGGCGAACCCATCTCATCTAATAGTCGAAGGGTAAATGATACTAGTTCACCTGAAGTTTGTAAAGAATGTCTTTCCTTCCACCCTCCATCTTTGAAGCTATGTGAGTCTTTCGACGGTTGGGCGCCGAAGGCGGTCACTAAAGGCCTCACTACCATGTTTGCCATTGATGATAATGTCTGAGGACTACCTAGCTCGAAAAAATCACTGGTTGCAACACTTTTGTCGTGGCGATTCAACATATGCACTGAAGAAACCGGAGACTTGTCAGAATCCCTATCTATTGTCATCGGTAGCGATGGCAACGAAACTATTCTAGGGCTCTTAAATGGAAATGTGCAAGAAACAGAATTCAGTCCCGCCTCAATGTTAATCTGGGATTCTTCAATATTCTCTAATATAGGGTGCTGTTGTGAAGAAGCACAAGCGTGGACTGATGAGTTCTCAAGCATTTCACAGGATCGCCGCACGGAGTCTAAATTTTCTTCGATCTTCTCTGTTAATGTGAAAACTTCTTCAGATAGCAAAGTGACATGAGACTTAGTTATCGCTAGTAACTCCTCTTGCTCATTGTAGTGCTGACAGAGTGCTGCACATTCCTCCTCCCAGGTCCTGTTCTCCTCTTCAAGACTCGCAATCTTTGCGCGTTGTGAATTACCTCGTTCTGTCATTAACACATTTATTTCTTGGACTTTACACAAGGTGTCTCGAGCTTCGTTGAGCTCGATTTGCTGTTCACTTAGACGTATTTGCTTTTGAGCTTTTCTATGAGAGTACTTCCTGATTGACGCAAACGAAGAGTTGCTGTCATTGTCGTCATCTAAGAATGAAGTGTGGAGGCTGCTACCTTCGCTAGAAAACACGCCTTTTTTTGTGAGAAAAGGTACTCTTTGTTGTTGAGAAGTAGATTTCATCCCAATTCTGCGTGCGCTCGTTGTCTCGATTACGGCTCCCTTGTGAATGCATTCGGCATCGTCCGTTTCTTGATGACTAGGTCGCTGTTGGCGCAGCTTAGTCCGTAGCCTTCTAATTTCTTCCTGGGCAGATTTTAGCATACGCTTGAGTTCTTCAGGTATTGGTTCACGATTAACAATAGCATGGTTCTGGATAGTCTTGGCCCGCGCCCCAAAGCGCAAGGTGGACAAAGTTTCATCCGCGTTGCACAAATCAGGGCTACAACAAACCACTAGTGCCGTGCGGAAATTCCCACCAAGAGAGTCCTTCAGAAGTTTAGTCAACACACTGTTTCGAAATGGTACATGGTTGGCGTTCTCATTCAAAGCTTGAATCACCAAACTGAGAGTCAAAAGCGATTTATTGATAAGTTTCGCCTCCTCCAACACTATGCCTTCAGATTTAGTTCTAGAAACTTTCTCACTACCTGCCAGATCCACAAGGAAGAGTTTCCCCACCTTGAGTTCATTAGAATCTCGGTCGAATCTTCTCACAATAAAGTTCAGGAGGCAATGGCTGCGGCTACTGGCGTCGTTCATGTTTGTCGCTGCGGTTGTCCTACGACGCATTCCAGTTTGTATAAGTGACATTGCGTCCTGGAAACAGGTAACCTTAGGAATCGCACAGCCTTCAATATAAAAAGAGCTTGAATTTGCGTCCTCTCGCACCTGTAGGTGTCGTGAACCCGATTGGAAGTCCTGGGGCTGGTTCGGATTTAAGACCCAACTAGATGTTGAAGCAAGGAGGTCAATCACCTGCTCCATATAAATTTCCACAAAAGAAAGACGCACCTCAAATTCGATTCCAACATCAGCGTGTTCAATTAAATGAAAGAGGTCATTCACGGCTCTGGGGACGATGCCGGTAACGTCCCCTAATTCAAAGTTATGTGTACAGTGTTTAGGACTCTCTCCTGAAGTATGAAGCGGTACTAAGTAGGATGGCCATGTAGTTGATAGTAGTGTATCTTGCTTCCCATGGGCCATGCTATTTTCGCAGCATGCATTAAAAAAACATTCTACCGGCTTCTGATCCCCTTTGACAATGGGTGGAATACATTTATGTGGAAAAGGAAACAAACCTGTATTTGCCTTTGTTTCGATGCTTTTAGGTTTGGCTAACCTCCTTGGAGTAATCAAATTTGTCTCTTCTCGTAAAATAAGGCTCTCTTCTTTATTCGGAAACCAATCTTCACGTTTTACCCCACAACCTACTCCAATAGGAACTACATTCCTATCAGTAGTATCATTATCACAAAAAATTTGGCCGTTCAATGATGTCTTTCCAAACATAGTATATGTCTTTCCACTACCAGTCTGGCCGTAGACGAAAATATTCCCATTGTAGCCTTCCATAACATCAGCTAGTACAGGTTGAACAACACTGTCGTAGACCTCTTTCTGACCAGAAATTTGTCTAAAGACACCAGAAAAGTGAAACAAATGCTGTGCACTTGAGTCACTGTTGGTGTTTTTCCCGCAAGAAAACTTCAACCCAGGAGTTCGGGGGGAGGTGAACTCTATGTTGGGTGAAGGCACAGACCACATAATTGTACCATTTTCAGTATCCTTATCGTTAAGGTGGACGCAACAGGGTGAAATCTCTGAATTAACACCTTCACTTCGTCTGAATGGTTGAACACGGCAATACACTCTGACAGAATCTGTGTGAACATTTGACCTTACAGAAGAAGCGTCTTGAGTTAAGTGCATTATTCTTTGGGTGCCTAAAAGTATTTAATGGCTTTGTCATACAGTAGAGCAAGAAAAAAAGGGAGGAAGGAAATGAAAATAATTGTTATTTAGAGGAGAACACAGCAGGATGTTGCCAAATGGTTATCTGTTGGAAAGGATGGGAGGGGAAGCTAAAAGAAGAAAGAATGTAATGTAAATCTCATTCAGTGATTTCTTTTGGTAAAATGCTAAGATGAAAAAGTATGACTCATTCCTTTGAAAAGTAACTTGGAAATTTTTACCACAATAAAGAGATCGGCTAATGTGTTACTTTCTTTGTAATAAAGAATGAGTAGATAAAGAACTACCCATCTTGAAAAAGATATCCCATGTGCTTCATTGTCAAATGTTTCTTTCTAGATTGCTTAAAACTACCCACTCCGCTGAGTTATAGCCCCTTGTCAATACCTGTCTCGCATGAAAGATGAGATCCTCTGAATCTGCAATATCAGCCTGACTAATATTATCAGGTTTATCTAATTTATCATCTCTAGCATCCAACGCTTTCAAAGCTATCCCCAATTCCAACAACAAAGCATGCTCTTCTTCATCAGTATCGTCGGAAAGGTTCCTGAACTCGTCATCTCTACCATAAGAGTGGCAGAATAAATCGCTAAAACTCTGCTGGACGCAAGAGAAGCCTGGTTGTGGTAAACAGGGAAGGATTCCTCCGATGTTTCGATGCTCACCACTCTTTCCAAACTCTGACATACTTAAGAATTTGTTTGATAGTGGCGATGATAATGAATGCGGAGGACGATGTGTTTCAGCACAATGAATCTCGTTGGTCGAATAAATGCACAATTCGTCGACATTTACACACACAATTCTGATCAAAGACCTAGAGGCACCGCGCATAGACTTAACGTGATGCGAACTGTTACCCATCCCTCCAATACGCCCTGTTGCATCAGAAAAGCCTCCATGAGCCCTTTTTGAAGAAAAAGATGATATCGTATGAGACAACGCGGTGGTTGTATCGACAAAAACAGGAGATAAGGGAACGTGCAGTGAAGAGGAAGATAATACCAGTTGATGTGGTCCCGCTACTTGAGAATTTTCATCTGAGGCTGTCATTACCAGTTCCTTGATCGGAATAAAGGAAGTGCAGTCCGTAGATACGGAGCACTCCACCGCCGCACCAGTTGTCGGGTCGATAGTGTAGCATTTCCCGGTAGCCGTCACGAGTACAACACGGACCGCATCTTCAGAGATGTGGAAAACAGAAGCACGCTGGACCAAGGGGCTATCTAGAATCCCTGACCACAGACACTCAACAGAAAGTGTAATATCCGTCTGTGCTCCAAGTTCCTGCGGTGCGGTCATGTTAGGTAGTGTAGCTCTGGTGTCAGACTCCAGATGCGAAAGCTGACTTCCCTTCAGCCCTCCAACCTCAGTGTGGTGACTGGGGTCTTCCTCTATTGTAAGCGAATGGACTTTACCAGTGTACCCGGCTAAAGAGGAATTACTAAATTTGAAATCGGACTGCGTGGCGGATGCCGATGGCAAACCGAGGATGTGAGCAGAACTACCAATAGTGGTCATGTTGACGACCCTTTTAGTGGAAAGGGGTATTTGTACTTTATTACATGCAAGAGCCCTTCGTGACAGGGTTTGTCCCTCCGCTCGTTGACATTCTTGATGTTTTGGATCCAGTGACAGTAGACTCAGGTTGTGTTGTAATATCTCAACACGACGGCTCGACTTTTGAGCTTTTTTGTTTATAAAAGGCGAAAAACGCTCGTTTGAGCCGGTGCTGCTCCGTTCAGTATCACCTGTCATCGGAAACGCTTTGGGATAGTCACTTGCAAGTTGTAAAACACACACACGACCGTCTTCACGGGCAGCTACTAGAATTACAGAGCCACTATTAACCGATACGTCTACAAACACAGGCGAATGAATGCTTTTAGCCATCCTACTGCGGTAGGGGTACGACAGCTGAGCGGCCGAAAGATTGGGAATCCATGTTGGATGCACGCTTCTTTCCGACGCAGCTGCTTCGGGAGAGGGGCAGCATGACGCCTCAGTTTCTTTAGTTAGAGGAGCTGAAGCAGTATAGCAAGACGGCGATGGATCGGGGCTGTACACCGAATGAGAAGGTGACCCTTGAAATGATGAACGGGTATTAATATCGGAGTGCAACGGATATGTTGAATATTGAACGTCAGCGTAGTCAGGGTTTATAGGGTCAGCGTGCTGTGAGTGATTCTCAGAAAAGTCATGTTCATGCTGGATCGTCGACATGTATTGATGGTCCTTTGCCGAGGAAGAAGCATAAGTTTGAGATACCTCTTGCTCCACGTGCATGTTGAAATTATCATCGTCGTCCAATTCGGATAAATCCATTGTACCGTAAACTAAAGATGAAGAAGAGTGGGACGGGGACAAGGACACAAACGAGTTACAATCCGAATCAAAAGATCTGCCTTTTTCGCCGCAATGTGCGTATTTGAAAGATTCTGGATAATGTGTTTGAACCGTTGCATGGGCTCCTGTTCCTTGAAGATGACTTCGGTGTGAATGCCCAGGAAGCCCAAAGAGCGCCTCAGAGCTGAGTATCTGCTGTGATTCAAACAAATGCCAACGGATGACAACAAACCAAAGGGGGTAAATAAAAACAATCGATGGTGCAGCATCGATCGGCGAAGCCTCAGGAGTTTCCTCATTGACTTTAAGATTTTCATCGTTCAATATACAACCACTGCTATCCTTGTTAGTGTTGCTATGACCAGACACCTGGGTTCCTTGGCAACAATCTGAAGAAATAACAGATGAAATGGTGGGGTAGCGTAATGAATTAGAATGCCTCTTGGATTGAGACAACCGCGACGATCTAATATGGGATAGTGCGCTAGGTCCATCCCTCCCCTCGTTATCGATTTCACCTCTTCCAGTCTGTTTACTTTCTCCACGTGAGTCCTCTCGAAAATTCTTTCTAGATTTGTCTTTAAAAAACATTCCAGTGTTAGTGAATTCCTGCTGTTGTCGTGGGCTACACCATGAGTTAAAGTTATGCTGCATAATGGACTTATCTGCAAGAACAAGAGGTTTGTTTGAATCGTTTTTATTGTCCTGATAACTGCGCAGTGTGCTGAGGGATGCAGGAAACAATAGAAGGCTATGCATGGTTGCCACAAATAAAAGTGGAACTGATAAATGCCGTGATGAATCAGGCAACTGATCTTCTTCTACGTATCCATCGCTATGAAAACTGCTAGCGGTACCTGGAGCATTGCTTTGTCCCTTTAGAAAAGATGATCCACCAACCTTAGAATCTGAGTCATTATTGATCACATTCGCAATTTCTGAAGAAAGAGGCGAGGCCACCATAGGATCAATCCCGACTGGAAGTGAAAAACACTTCAGTGATGTGACAGCGTGATGCATGAATATAGAGAGCTCGCATGCACCAGAGAGAAGATCATAAACGTACAAATGGCAATCATATGAGCCAAGGAAAATCCGGCTCACGTCACTTTCTATCACAATGTCACCGCACATACAATTTGAGGGGACATGGAATACCTTGGAGGCCTTCTGTGCCCTTTTGGATCGGCACAACATATGAGTGTCATTATCCCGTTGCTTGCTTTCACTACTAGTCCTATCCGTCCTATTTAAATCATACTCTGCAACACCAACAAGAGTCTTACTCGCGTGTTCGTTGTCCTTCTCAACCCAAATAGGGCTGACATTGTGAAATGTGACAAGAAAATCGTCCCAGACCTCACATTGACCTTCTAGGGTTACCAATATCAATTGGTGAAGCTCCTTAGAGAACATAACTATTGAAATAGTCGCGGTCATGGTATGAACAACGTCGAAAATACGGAGATTGGGCTTTACGACTAACAGATAGCCCTCTGTGGTCCCGATGATGATCTCCTCCACATCATCCTGATCTATATCGCAAGAAAGCAATGCGTTGGGTAACACAGAACCCTCCGATGCGAACTTGCGGAACTCCCAACTGTCTAGAAGAATGGACGGTAAACGGTGATGTACCGTAAACGGATCAGTTGGAAAGTGCAACATAGGTGGATGATTACTTCTTGACATCACGTTTGCTAATTTATTTCCTTGCTGTTGATGTTGTTGACTCCAATTCCTACATTGAATGAATTAAAAAAGATTTTCATTATATACCAAGAAACCAAATTCTATGGAATATGTATTTGACAGTTATAACAAATGGATTTTTTTAAAAAGGTTTACGTTTTCGCTACCGAAAAGTATTACGTTAAGAAATAAAAGATGCCGATAAAAAACTGCTCAAGGGGTAAATAATATTATGATGGGTGCGATTATAAATACTACTTTGCGCTCCTTTGGTGATAAAATAGTGTTACACACGCACCGTGACTGATTAAAATCGATAAACATTCACAATAGCTTCCATAATATCCTTATTAACTGCTCAGGAATCGATCCTACAACTTAGCCAAGATTGTGCATTCGCAATAACAGAAAAGAACAACTTTTGATTTTGCTCTTTGAGTGACTCACTTCTTTATCCGATACCAACAAGTATATACTTCATGTTTCAGCTCGTGATCAAAAGTCAGCAAGGAAAGTAGCGCAGTTGCCTCAGAATTTCTTTACACGAGAATCATGACGATCTGATGAGAAGATGTTTGATACGACATTGCTCTTTTCAAACACTGCTTCATATGTCACTTGGGACTCATTCGAGAGCATAGACCTGAGCCGCTGCAGCTCTGCGTGAATATGAGCTACTCTACTTTGTGGCACCCGTCGGCCGCAGTTCACATAATTCACAAAGTCCTGAACGACAAAAGGCGTATCGCATGTGCGTTGTATGAGTTCTTGTCTCATGGCCTCATCAAAAGATTTCTTGTTAAAAGGACCGTCCTCTGGATGAATTCCCAGGTGTTTAATCCACTCAGCACTCTTACGCACCTCAAAGAGCTCCAGATGTCTCTTGACAAATTTTGCGTAAAGCTGGCGATGTTGGCGTGGGTACATAAGGCTTACAGTTCCATTTTTGAAGTCGAAGGCACAATAATACTCAGCAAACTTAGTCAGACAAAAATAGACAGCCTCACCAAGCTTATCATCATCACCATCCATCTCATTGTAAATGGGCGGGAGTGAGAAATTTTTTATAGCATCCTGCACATTTGACAGAGTAAGCTCACCGAACTCACCAGTAGGAGAATTAAAAACCGGAAGCAGCATCAGCTCCTGAAGCACCATCAGAGCCATGGTTGTCATGGTGAAACTATTAAATGTAAATTTATTGGGTGCAATCACCTCGCGTGCCTTTCCCCACTCCTTCACTGCATATATGTATGCGCTGTAAAAATCGGGGTAGATATCCCGGATAGCTCGTAAAATTTTAGAGTTCTCAACACCGCCAATATTGCCGATACTTATATCACACTGAATTCCACTAACAGAATCGATGAATTTAACCACAGGTATGCGCGCACGAACATAATGTACATCTTGCATGCCCGATTCGGAAGCCTCCTTTGCAAAGCGAATGAGGCGTTTGTCGTTTTGGTCATCAACCCGCTCGATCCCTTGCAACCAGGGCGAAAAGTTACGGTAGGTAAGAGACATATCCGCATCGGAGTCTGGCTTGCAGAAGCCGCTGACGTGAGAGCCAAAAAGGCAAATATGGCCCTTGTTGACAGAGCAGATGGAAATATCGACCATGCGATCTTTAAGGTCGTTGATCGTATCGATATCAGATGACTTTGGATACGATGCGCGATAGCCAGCCATCAGTTCACGTATGAAGCGTGTCTTGCCCGAATTCATTTGGAGCTCATCTAATATAATCTAAATTATAATATAGTGTGTACACATACACAACATAAATTGAAAGACTACAGGGACGTGAAATACGAATGATTCTGTATGCGACTCCGAAAATGTGCTAATTTTACTGAACCTGTATCGAAATAAAGGAAAAATATGCACTAATGATAAGTAATTTACAAGTAATGTGACGCTTGCAATCCTCATGATTTAAGAAATTACCGAATGCATAAACAAGTATGTCATCTATGCTTTGATTAATTAGGAAGAAAATGAGGTTCATCTATCATTTCAATAGCCGTCCAACTGCTGTGCAGGCGGCGATAATGATCCGCCATACTTATTCCGTAAAAAGTCAAGGCTGCTACTAAGGCCTTGCCTATGAATGCTCGAACCAGTCTCACCTGTGGTATCATAACTTCTGCTGTCAGCATTTGGGTTGCTCCCACTATTAGAATCATCACACCAACGCTCAACCCCGTTGTCCACAATGTCACTAGGCAATGGCACCTTTACGGTTACACCAGGACCACGCGATCGCTGCATCTTGCTACGAAAAAAACGTAAAAGAAAAAACTTAGTAATCAAAGGGAAAAGAAAAAAGTCCTTGATCCCCAACGGCGTCAACGTAGTATGCATCGTCATGTCGAAAGACGGATCCGACTCAAGCCAAATAGTGGCTTCAATAAAAGGTTTTCCTGGAAATTCCATCGTAGAGGATGCGAACTTTAAATTGAGCAAAACACGCATATGCGCACGAAGGTTTCTGATATTGCACACACTCACGTGCACAGGTAGATGCCGACCCCGCATAAACGAAAGATCTGCTTGTAGTGAGACCTCCAACCCCCCACTATATTCCACCTCGAGCTCCACTTCAATCGAGGTCGGGTCTGGCGAGTTGTAAGTGCCATTCTTTGTTGAGCCAGTGATAGTCGGTGATAAAGGGTGCATCTGCGGTGACCGAGCTGTCTGGCGCACACCCGCCCGTGCCGCCCTCGCCGAGGCCTCCTCTTTCCCCTCAGACTCACCCGCACTACCAAACATTTGATTTCCCCTTCCCTTCATCCCACTATCGTGGGTCAGTGTGTTGAGGGGATCCCCCGAAACGACACCCGAATGGATATCCCCACTATCACCAAAACCACCCCACATCCCCGTCCTCTCGGGACTCGAGAGTAGTCTGTGGACACCAAACGTCTTATCCTGCGGCAGCTGAGCCTTAAAGAGGTTGGGCCCAGCCCCCGTTTCGCCCACCACCGTATTGGGTGCGGCTGACGAACTGATAGACTGCGTGGAGGAATTCATCTTCTCCAGCATGGCGTTGCGGGCATTAGTGCCAGTGTGGGATTCGTTCATGTGAAGAATGTGGATCGCCTTCACACGCGGTAGTTTCTCTCCGAGGGCGTTAATACGAAACTCTGCACATGCCGCGATCCCACGGTCCTCTAGTGCCGCACTCACACGCTCCTCGAGTTGCTTGATGAGCTCTGAACGTACGCGTGGGTGGCCCTCTGCGGCATTGCCATACTCCATGCCGAAAAGTGATGGTTGTGGCCTTGAAAAATCGAAGTTTGGAGACGCCACCCCTTGAGATCTGGTGAGCTCAACTGGTCGTTTAAAGGTATATGCAGTGTTATCATCGGTAGTATTAGTCTTTGAACTTCCCCTTTCGAATCCGCCGGTTAGGTGAGGTAGGAAAACATCGCTCAAGGAATGGCTACACGGAACTTGAGAATTGCTTTGATCACTCCCCTCCCCCCCGGCTGAGGATGACAAAGATTGTAAAAATGAAAAAATATCCTCAAGACGGTGCTTCTTTCGGTCTTTTTTAACGTGACTCTCCTGAACACTACACTGTTTGGGACTCCCTGACATAGAGTTCGCGTCGGCAGGTTGTTTGTCTTCAGCTGCCAACGCTGAACAGTATAGCATTTCTAAAATAGCATTTAGGAGGCGCTCTAACCACAATGTTGTTTCACCGTGGTGACGAGGTATACGCGTTCGGCGCGATGGGACGTGGCGAAAACGTGTCTTTTTCACCCCTAACAATGCAGTTACAAGCCCCGCGAGGAAAAGGACACGGAAAATCGAAGATAAAATACTAATAATCATTTCTTCCTGTAAAATACATTTAAATAATACCCATACACAGAATTTGTTCTTACCTTTGCTTCCCTAGATCAATAACTAGGTGTGAATGAAATAAAAAGTCTATAGAGGAAGGTAAAATAATCAAAAAGTGAACTTCTCTTCACTATCTCACAAATACGAAAGGTAAGCAATAGAAAGTTGGTCTTTTCTTTAAAAAAAAAATACCTCGGGGGGGTCAATTTGAAAAAATATATATTTTATTTGATTCCTTAATGACTATACCTACTTTCATTGAAATTGTATATATCAATCAGCAAAATTAACCTATTCATATAGTAGATCTCCTTATCGCTCTTTCAAACTAGTTTAACACTGTACTCAGAGGTACCTTGTCTTGCAAACTCATTGTGTATAGGGCATCGTTTGTGGAATCCGATTCTTCCTCATTGGCATCACGGGTATAATCCTCAATATTCACTACTTCGGTAGGCTCAAAAGAATCAGATGATTGAGCCACACCACTCCTTTCAGTTCTCAGAGTACTAACATTATCAGTAGATTCCATGAAAAATACACTTGATTCACAGTCTTCCCGAGTAGTCGTTTCGTCAAAATGTTTACATACTGAGAAACAAGTTCGGCTTGCTTCTGTGTTGTGTAGTGAAGGCTCAGCTACGTTTTCGAAGGCTCTACCAAGAGCCTCAAGACGATCTTCGATAAAACTTAGTCCTCCCATAATCCGTTCGGCTACTTTAAATCCGAATTTCCCCAACTCGGAAGAACCTTCAGGTTCTGCTACTCCTCCGTGTCTTTCACCTTGACGAAAGTCAGAGTCAGAAGCGGTATTTTTGTTAAAAGAAGAATTATTGTTCATTTCTAGGCCCCCGAAGTCGTATGAGGAATCTGCCTCAAATTTATCTATCACTTCTGCGGAGGTAAGCTCACGAAAAAATTCATCTTGGTTCCAGACACCATAAATGGGAAATGTGACACCCGGGAGATAAAGCCGACCACGACCCTGCTTTTTGTCGTTCTTCCATCGTCCAACAAACTTTTGGCCATCGTGCAGAATCTCTTGACCTTTACCATCTTTTTGGCCTTTGCACCACATCCCTGAATATCGATCATTATTCATGGCGACAAATACGCCATGGCCGTTAGGTTCATCGTTCACATAATTCCCTTTGAAGCGATGACCCTCCGCGTAGATGCACTCGCCTGGACCATTGCGAATACCATTCACCCATTGACCGCGGTACACATCCCCGTTCACGTAAGATCGTTGACCATAGCCATTGGCCATGCCATTCTGCCATTCCCCATTGTGTGTACCGCCTTCGTTGAAGTTCAGAATTCCCTTTCCCTGAGGTCGCTGGGTCTTTGGATCGACCTCACCGACATAGCGGCCAATGTCCAGCAGAAGCTCAACCGCCTGGGTGTCAACAGTCTTGCAGGTGCAATTCCCGCCAATGGAAAATGAAAAGGTGTCGCTATTACCCTGTTTTGCGCAAGTCTCTAGGCTGGGCTTATCAATAGTGATCGGCAGAACCTGCGCTAGGATATTGGGGATTGAACTTTCCTGAGGTTCCTCTACGAAGGCGGCATGAGGAGGGGGGCAGGCCTTACCGTCTTCACCTATTACCCTTCCTTGGAGGATGGCAGACGGGTGGTCGGTTTCTTTCGGCTCCGTGGTGCCCAACATCTCCCCAAAGACGCTGGGCACACAATAGACTGACGAGGCGTTGACATTGACGGGCACCGCACCCCCAGACAAATCATCCCTTCGTGAAGGAAATGTATGAGGGGATTCGTCCCCTAGGATTTTCGGATGTGGGTCGTTTAGACGAAATAAATCATTATGAAGCATGGTAATAGATATACCAATAATTGTATGAATGTATGTATCTATGTGTATAACACTCCTTTTCACAGTACTGAATGGTCAATAAAGCATAATATGATACAATAATTCAATCCTATTTTTTTTTATGCACAAGTCTAATATTGAGAAATAGAAAATACCCTCTAGAGAGTATGGGTGTCGATAGATGGATATTCACGCAAAGAAATCACATCAAAAAAAAGACGCACTTGTAACTCCAAAAGACCTGAAGAAAGTCACCATGAGAATTGTGTCTCGAATCAGAATAGTAACAATAATCCAAATCAAATCAATGGAAAGGATAATTGAAAAAAATTCTACAAACAGAAACAATGAGTAACCACATCTGCTATTTACGCTATGTTATATTGTACCTTTTATTTTGCTTTCTCATGGCCTTCCTCATTTGAAGCTCCCCCTCTCTACCGAACTCTCTAACGTTTTAGCGTTCCTTGTTAATGTCTTCGCATTTAATAAGAGCTTACATTTAGCTACGGAAATTGAAGTGAACAGCAAGCCACATAGATGGCAACAAGACTATGAACATGAGAGCTGTCTTTGATCGCTTGACGGTGAAACGTAGTTTGGATGAATAATTAAAAGAGAAGAAAAACATGAGTTTAAACTGACTCCACAGGGATAACGTACGATATTAGTTTTCCAACCCATAACTCGGCTATCCGTATACGTGGTCCCATCGCACTTTTGCGTCAACAACATTCGAATGAAAATATGCAAATATTTGCTTGATAAATAATTTATCTACACTATTTATCAAAAATAAATTCACTCATAACAATTTGAGGACTTGCATATATAAAGTAAAAGAAGTAAATGTTGTGAAAGGGGCTAAATGAACTCACATGAAGCGCGTAGAGCAATGCGTCTACCTATTTGTCTATGTCATTTGTCTTATTAGATGATTCTACTTTGCAGCAGTCGGCCATTCAACAGCAAACCGGCTTCCAAATGTGAAGGAAAAATAAAAACCTGCGTGAGCATGTATTGAACGAAACATAACAAGTTTTGTTAGACCCAAACCTTAAGAATGATTAGATTGATTCTTTTGATAGATCAAATGGTGTAGAACGGTTCTGTGGCTGTGGATCAATCAAAATTTGTTGTACGACCTCCGTTGAAAGTAGTTAATCAAGACGAACTCAATATCCAGAACTCGACCCCACAGTAGCATCCATCCGTTTTGTAGATGAAATCGTGCGTACTGGTTTGTTAGTTGCCAAATAACACAAATCACTTTTTTACTATGTGAGATAATTCCATTTTGGGGGAGAGGTATTTTTTGTTTTTTATTAGAAAATTCAAAAAAACCCACACTCGGGTTATATTACTTTAATAGATATGTGGAAGAGGAAATAACAGCCAGCATCGAGTACAATAATAATAGTAATAAAGATTAATCATATTCAATCGTTTCAGAAATAAATAAAAATATTAAATACTGATAATTGATAAACTTACTTATTAAAAGTATTAATTATCGGCTTAGTGCATTATAAGTTTTTATCTCGATTCCTTTTCGGTTTGTTTGATTAAAATATTCCCTAAACTTTCGAAAGAAGAGTTCACATTCGTGGAGGCTAATTAAAGGAATCTAGTAACAATTTTTATCGTGGCTGCCGATTAGAGCCATTTCCTTTCGCTGAGCTTTACTTACGTGTTTTAAAATGCTGGATTAAAGAAACGGATTCGAAAAGTGTGTATTTATTATCATTGGGGTAAATCGAAAAGCTAATAGGAAAATATAATATCAATTTTATATCCGTATTCAGAGATAGCCTTTCCAGAGATTTAGATCATGTGCGAAAAAGAGAACGGCTATGTGATTACGGAACTAAGATCTTAACAGATTGCTCATTGAATTCTGTGGCTTGTTATTGTCTAATAAAAAGCAATCCACATTCCTTATGCATCGCATCGCTCAAGCATAAAATATATAACTACCATGATTAATAATCTTTTTTGGATCGCCATCATGATTTTTTTATTCCTTTATGTGGTGATTTATAGTATGCATATATAGAATGATGTTCTACAGATAGATATACTGAATAAGAAATTTTTCACTGAGGATGTAATATTTGCATATTACCCTTCTATTGTTGATTCTTATCAGAAATCCTTTCTATCAAATCCTCATCATTACATCTTCCGTTTTTTTTTTGCATCTTTAAATATCGATGTACAAATATCACACACTAATGCATTTTTCGAGGGTGAAAAAAAATTTACTCTCTTAGTCCATTAAATCATCTTTTCCTAACAACAGAAAATACACTGGTATGTCAATCATGAAAAACTGCGGAGACGTTCAGGCAGTCGGCGCTGTGTGCAAGCCTCAGGCCAAGTGTACTCTCGCTTCGCAACGGCCGCCATGAAAGCTAAATACGACGGAGAGGGATCCAGTGGAGAAGAAACAAACTCTGGGTGGTATTGCACAGCGAAGAAAAATCGCAACGACGGGCATTCGATGGCCTCAATACGTGAAAGAGGGCCAAGCTGAGGGTCTGAAGCCCCTGAAAAGAGAACCCCCGCCCCCTGCAGCTCATTTAGGTACTGAGTGTTAACCTCATAGCGGTGCCGGTGACGCTCCAAAATCAAAGACGCTCCGGAGTAAATCTTTTTGAGAATCGAAGAGTCCTCGATGATGTGGACATCGCGTCCACCAAGATGCATGTTAGCACCCATTTTGGTCCTGTCCGTGTCCATAATGCGGACAATCTGATGGGTCGATTTAGGATCAAACTCCTCACTGTTGGCGTCCTCCCAACCTATGACGTTGCGTGCGATCTCAATTAGGGCGACCTGCAGCCCCAGGCAGACACCCAAGTATGGGATGTTGTGGGTACGTGCGAGCTGCACGGCTGCACACATCCCCTTCACCCCACGCACTCCAAACCCACCCGGAACGAAAATACCATCACAACCCAGAATCGCCTCCTTGGCCTCCTCGGCGTTCACCCCCTCCAAGTCCTCGCTGTCAATGTAGAGGATGTCGATCTTAAGATGAAGCGCGAGCTGGCAATGCTCAAACGTCTGCAATACCGAAAAGTAGGCATCGCTGCCGCCGGTCACGTACTTCCCGACAAAGGCAATTCGCACAGTGCTATTGGATGGATTGCGCAAAATGCTTGTGAATTCCTTAAAAGACTCATAGGTGGGGACGCCCACCGCGGGCCTCGAGGGCTTGAGGCGCAACTTATGAAGAATGCGCTGAATAAGGCCCTGGTCTGCAAACTCGATCGGGATCTGATAAAGGCAGTCCACATCGGGGGCACCAATGATATCCTTAGACTGCACACCGCACTGATTGCTGAGCTTTTCCCGCACATCCGACGTTATCGGCTGCTCACTGCGGCAAATCAGGAAATCCGGCGAAAGCCCGAGCGAGAGCAAAGTCCGACAGCTGTGTTGGGTTGGCTTCGTCTTTTGAGTGCCGCCAAAGACGGGGAGGTAAGTCGTGTGAAGCAAACAGAAGTCCTCGGGCAGGATGGAGTAGCGCAGCCGACGGAGGGACTCTACAAAACTCTGGGATTCCATATCCCCCACGGTGCCCCCGAGCTCAATCATGCAGATTTGAGGCAATTCGGTACTCCCTGTGACCAATGGTTTCTGGCATAACGCGAAGATTTGATCGACAACTTCGTTCGTGAAATGGGGAACCATCTGGACCGTCTTGCCCAAAAACCCACCCGCGCGCTCTTTGGTGATCAACTGCTGGTAGACCTTGCCGGTGGTGATGTTGTGCTCGCGCCTGAGATGCACGTTCATCCAGCGCTCGTAGTTGCCGAGGTCAAGATCGGCCTCGCAGCCGTCCTCCAGGACGTAAACTTCGCCGTGCTCAAAAGGGCTCATCAGCCCAGCGTCGATGTTGAGGTAGGGATCGATTTTGATGCTGTGGACGCGGTAGCCGGCAGCGCGCAGGAGGGCCCCGGTCGCGCTAGTGGTGATGCCTTTGCCAAGGGAACTGCACACTCCACCCGTCACCACGACAAACTTAACGCTCTCATATTCCGCGTTAATCGAGTGCAGCATCGGCGACGGAAGATAGTAGGAGCTTCCAGAGCATACCTTATGGTGGTGCATTTTTGTCTGAAACAGTATCGCCGGTATAATATATACGATTTTCGATATACTTATTTAAGTTTATGGCGTTTTTACTTCTTTGTATTAAATGTATTGCTTTAACAGAACGATTTCCTTGTAATGATAAAAAAAAAATGAAAATAATTAAACTGGTAGAAAGTTTCTTTATTTTAGCTGAACATTTTTCCATAGGATAAATATTAGTTTACGAATTTATCTGTAGTCAGATGCATTCTTGATATAAACATTAGATTAAAATTAAGGCAGAACTATAAAATGGAGTACTCTGGAAATCACACAAATGATAATATGTTAAATGAGGAAATATAGTTTAAATTGGTTTGAAATGTTGTGTAGATAGTTATCTTTGTATTTTTTGGCTAGATATTTGGATACTTATATAATACAACACCTTTCCCTTCATCTATTAGAATAACAAGGAAAAAAAATAGGGAAAAGAGCAATATTATGATATGCAAAGAACAAACGGAAAAGTATAAATATTACTATCACCAAGCTATCAGTGGATATATCGCTGATTTTTTGTTCTTGATAAGGACAAGTAATATTGGTTTAAAATCCCGATAAATGATATTCATTTCATTTTCATGAAAACTTTTTTGCGCACACACAATGTGGATGTAGATTGGTGTACGTTTGTTAGGCGTTATAGACGCAGTGAATAAAAATTTCCCATAAATCTCATGGATGGAACCAATGGCGGTACTTTAGCTTAAGAGCTGCGTACTGTTGTATTCGTTCTTCAAGACCTTCGTCGTCACGTTCATCCGACTTCGCATCCCGTGAAGTTTTTGCCTCATGGCCTAGAGAGGTCTGCGTAGCACGTTCGTATTGGCCAAGGGCCTCCTTTTGCCTTCCGGTCAAGCGACCTCCGTCCGGAATAAGAACAAGCACATGGTAAAACACCTCCATTTTGCGTGGGTTCGAATTCAAACCATCAACCGTATATGGGTCATTTTCACCGTCGGCACCAGCGCCATTGGGTGGTTTTAACCCACCTGTGTGGACCCCCCGAGGCAGCCCGAAGACGGATAAGGATAAAATCTGCCCGTTTCGCACGCACGGCGGGACTCGCAGCGAGGCGGGTCCTTCCAATGTCACCACCGTCACCACCCCGCCCAAAAGCGCGGTGGCGAGCGGGATCGGCAGCATCGCGTTCAGCTCGCCGCCGCGGCGCTCAAAATAGCGGTGCTCGGCGACCAAAATCGTGAGCAGGAGGTCGCCGGCGCGGCCGC